TGTAATGTGGTTGTAGTCATCCTTGTTCAGTTCTTAAAGTTTTTGTTTTTGTTTTAAACAGGATGCAACTTAAAATTTTCTTTGCATCAAGGTATATGCAAAACATTGATGCAGTGCATCATAAAATGAAAGTTTGTATTTAATGAGGAGGTGCTTTACACTGTACTTTTTGGTGTTTTTTGGAAAAGTTACATTTAGATCTATTCTGAAGCTGTTCATTTTTAACAAATAAAATGTTACAGGTTTCACATGATTTATTCTTAGCTATAAAGATTGAGTTGTGGTTTTTAGATTGTTCAGTGTTACAAAGAACTTTGTAGTGATTATTTATATTTGTAATTTTTAGGGTTTGAAAAGTTACCTAGTAGCTAAATTGGTAAATCAATCAAGACTCTCCTATTAGCATCCCGCTAACTACCTTTTGATGATTTTATTCATAGCTCCAACAAGTGGTACCCAGGAGCACTTAAAAAAGAGAATCAAATTTACTTACAGTGCGGAATATTAGGTTAGATGAGGCTTTAGAGATCATCCAGTTTAAACCTTCTTTTTATATCTTAGTAAAGTGAGTCCCAATGTTTTCAAGACTTGTGTGTTACAGCCATTTTTTGAGCTCAGATCTAATTCTCAGTTGATAATAAACTGCTTCTCTGAATTGAACACCCACAAAAGTAGTGGAATGGTGTGTGGTTTGTCAGCTATCTAAGATTTGGTAATAGCCATGTTTTAGCATTTGTAGCATGTGGTAAGTAAATCTATTATGCCAGTGATGATTATGATACTTCATTACTTTGGTATTTCAAGTTAGGTAGATCTATTGGAAAGAACCAGTGTTCTTAATCAGCTGTGTATTTTATTTAACATGCATAAACTTTTCACCACAATTTCAATTACAGTCATCCCTTGGTATATTTAGGGTTTTGGTTTTAGGACCCCCACATGTATAAAATTCCAGGTATACTCAAGTCCTGCACCCACATATATGAAAAGTTGGCCCTCCATGTACACTAGTTTTGCATTCTATGATCCACATTTGATTGAAAGAAAAATCGGTCTGCAAGTGGGCCCACATAATTCAAACCCATGTTGTTCAAGGGTCAACTGTGTGAGCCAATCATAAACTACTTCTCTGTATGAAGAGACTTACAGGCTTCATTGCCCAGTGGCTAATTTTTGTTAGAATAGATATGTACATCATTTATTCCACTGTCAATAGCTTTGTAATTTACATAATATGTACAGTTTCAGGGTAACTTTGGTTCTGATTTATTTTTACTAAAAGGAGATGAGTGAGAAAAAATAATTCACTTGGCACTACAGAGAATGAAAATGCAGGGAGTATTAAAGCAGAAAATGATTTTTTCATTTCTGAGCAATAGACCTTTCAACTTTCATCAGAATTACATAATTATTTGTTTTATGACATTGTAAAAATATTAAGCTTGTGATTTAAGCTTCCTTTTAAAGACAGTTCTTTTTTGAGAGAGGGTCTCGCTCTGTTGCCTAGACTAGAGTGCAGTGGCGTCATCATAGCTTGCTGCAACCTTAAACTCCTGGGCTCAAGTGATCCTCCTGCCTCAGCCTTCAGAGTATCTGGGACTTTAAGTGTGACCACGCCCAGCTCATTTTCTATTCTTTGTAGAAATTGGGTCTTGCTACCTTGCTGAACTCCTGGCCTCAAGTGATCCTCCCCACCTTGGCCTCCCAAAGTGCTAGAATTACAGATGTGAGCCACCATGGACATCCTTAAAGAAAGTTCTTTTTGGATAGATCAATTTGGAGTTAGTCTCTTTTTGAAAATGATATCTCAATAAACCCCAAGCATTTATGACAAGAATTTTGGACTATTGTGGACCATTAATAAGGATGTAAAGATTTGCTTCAAAATTGTAGACTTCTAATGTCTTTTTTCACACCTGCCATTACAGTTTATTTTCTACCTGAACTCTATAACAAAAAGCTTGATAAAATAAGCAATATGACGCCATTCTGAGACTGAAATTACTTGTTCTGAGTATATTCAGATGAGGTATACCAATGTTTAAAGATTAATAGAAAGCTATTTCCCTAGTGTGTGTGTAATTAATTTCTACTTCTTCCATTTCCATTTTCCTTGTTTGAATTTTCTTGTGTAAAGTTTTTAAAAGTCAAATATTAGTGCTTCTTTTTAAAGGAATAAGAAAGGGAAGGACCAAACATTTATTGAATATATTCAACAAGTCAGTTTCTGTGCTTTACATAGCAAGAGAATGGGATTCAACCTAGATTCTAATCCTACTGCTTTGAGTTTATAAAAGTAGAGTCTTAAAATGAGTGACCATAATGTGTTTCTAGTGAGTAGAAGGGGTAGGAGGAGGAGTTTAATTCTGCATGATATGAATAGTGAGATGCAAAGCTGGAAAGAGCTACTGAGATTTGAGTGAAACTTTTGCCCATGGTATTGAATGAGTTAACTTTCAGCCTATAAAATAAACAGGAAGAAGTAGGGAAGTTCATTATATCAATTCCTAACACTGAACAGCCCCCACTGCCTATTTTTTCAGCTTCTGCTGCCAGAACACAGAGCAGTGTTAGGATAAGTTACCAATCACTATAGCCCTTTTGCTCTCAGCCTGTTTGCCGTTCTCTCATAGCACTTCTTTTATTCATTACTAGACTCTTTGGTTAACTCCCAGAAAGATTCCATTTCCCATATCTCATTCTAATAAGATGATGTCACCTACATTATGGAGACATATGGGGGAGTAGGGTGAGAATTCTCTCATAATCTACCTTTGTAGTTGAAACCCTAAATCCTTAAGAGGTCTCAAAATTAACTGCTCCATCTATCTTTCCTCCCATCCTTTCTTTACTTAGAACTTGTTCTCACATAATAGTATATATGGCATCTTCATTTTCCCCCGTATCCACAGGCCTTTCTTTTGGCTTTCAGATACCTACAGACTTAGGTACCTTCTTTTCTTTAAAAGCTGTAATTCTTTTTCCTCTTCTACCAACCTTCTTCTTATGTTAGTACACAACCTGTCTTCTATCTGCTGATTTCCACTCATCTTGCTATTTTTTATTATTAGTAATATCCTCAGCCCTAGGAGATGGAAGATAATTTTAGCATAGAGTTTAATATATTAAAGACCTTAAAATTTAGTTGCATAGGCAATTTATAAGCTTAGTTGAGGATTAGCATAGTATGTTGTCACTACAATGGGATGTACATGCAGATAGGAAGAATGAGGCCATGTTACAATGACCTTTTCAGAAGAACTTATTGTAAATGTGGAAAGTGATAAGCAATCAACTAAGATGACATAATGGTGCATTTAGAAAGCTACACCTGGCAACGAATTCTATAGTATTGTAGTTATCAATATAGAATATATGAATAGACTCAATCATTATAGTTGAAATTTCTCTATAAGATATAAAATGAGGTGCTGCTTTTAAATAGCTTATTTTCTAAGAATAACTAAATGATTTGAGGAATACCAGGATAACAAAAACCAATACATGCATTGGATAAATGTTGACAGGGATGACAAATACATCACCTGCCATTGTGACCCACATTGATAATTTATCATGAAACCTGTTGCTGAAGAAACTAGAGTGTAGTATTAAGAGTTTATAGAACAACTCTCTGAGCAGCTTTTCTTAATCACTTTGGCACAGAGAGTAAACATTTTTACAAACTCTTGCATTTAGGGGTTCAGGTTTCATTGAAGAGTTGGGCCTTGGATCATGGGCAGGATCTCTCCAGCCTCATTTTGCTCTCTGACATGAACTTTCTGGTCTATGGCCTTAATGTTCTCCACATGTACCATTATAAATCATAATGTGGATATGTTCATGCTGATCCATCTTCTAATCTAGAATATTGCTCTCACCTTCCAGCCTGTCCCACTTCATAATCCTTCAGGTTTGATTCAAAACCTCATTCATCCATGATATATTAATAGATTCCTTTTCTCTGAACTCCTAAGTAATCTCCACCACCCTTATTTCGCCCTTTTTTGTGGTCTCATTCTCTAATTAGCCCATTTGTCTTAATTCCACAATTAGATTATAATTCTCTAGGATAAGGACTCTTCTATTTCCCACAGTAACTACTAGATGATTAATAGTGAAATTTACATCATATAGCAGGAATGGCTTCTTCAGTAAAACAGACAAGACTATGCTAAAGACCAGTTGCAATATAAATGAGGCTTAATTGGTTTAAAATGAAGTATTTTTCCACTTTTTTTTATCACTTGAATGGTTTCTATTTTTGACTGTTTCTTTGATCTACCTTTAATTCCCACATTTAGGTATGGTCAGATTATTTTCGCTTGCTCAATTTTGGTTCCACACCAAAATTTAGACTTTTATACTATTCATCCTGCATTATTCAACAATAAAGTCTTGCCTCAAGGGCAGGTACTATTGAAAACGTTTATTATTTGAAGAAGGACTTTTATAAAAGTGTGGGAGAGTCTAAAAATATCTATATAACCCTTTCAATAAGAAATACGGAGTTCGGAGGCAAATTAGCACGTTCCTCCCCCACCCCTGCCCGCCAAGTGCTAATAGTAAATCCATAAATCTCGATTTAGATCAGCTGGTAATACAATGCCCGAAGTTGGGAAACGTTTTAGGTCGTATTCCTTAGAGTCCCCTCTCACCGCCCAAGTTTCTGGTAGCAACAGTGTTAAGAAGGAATCCTTAATTTAATGCTTAATGTAATCCTCTACCACTGGGGGAGGAAGGCTGTTTAAAAGATATTTTTGTAGAGGCATTTTAGAAATGCTACTGGGAGCTTAGAGTATGGGCCTGCTCCAAGTTTGAGAGATCAGTTTTAATTTCCCTTGAAAATCTCGATGTGGGCGGGGGCAAGCGCCTGGCTGTACTGAGGGGGCACCACAGCGCTGCCCGTCAAGGGAACCGTCCGGGGTCTGTTAGCCCCTTTCCCCGCCCACCCACCCCTTCTGGCCGCGCATGCGCGGAGCTGGCGGAGAGTTGTCGGCTGGGAAATGGCGGCTGCTGGTTTATTAGCTGTTGCAGGGGCAGCGGAGTACTCTGGCCCAGTAGCATCCGGAGGTAACCTCTCCGGTGTTGACTGCGGCCCACGTCCCGGAGCAGGCCCTGGTCCTGGCCCAGGCTCGTGGAGCCGCTCTCTCGATCGAGCCCTGGAGGAGGCGGCAGTAACCGGGGTGCTGAGCCTGAGCGGCCGGAAACTGAGGGAGTTTCCCCGGGGAGCGGCCAACCACGACCTGACGGACACCACCCGGGCGGGTGAGCGGGGCGGGGGTATCCCTGCCGGTGGAGACGGGGGCGCTGGGAGACCGCCCCAGCCGGGGGAGGGGGGGCTGCGGGGGTAGTTACAGCAACTGGTCCCATAGGCTCTTGGTTGGGACCTGGGTAACGGGGAGAAGCCGAGTGCCCCAACCCGTCCAGCCCTCTGGGCCTGCGGGCCGGACCCAGATCCTGGGACGAGGCGGCAGCGCTCCAGGAAGGGGACAGGAGGGAATTGATGGATGGTTTTCTAGTCTCTGCTAGGATATCAACTTCTGCCTCTGCTGAGATAGACCCTTGCCCCGCCCTGGTTTCTGCAGGCCCTTTCGGATTTGGGATGCCAAATTGACTGTTAGCTAAGACGGTAACGTAGCGCGCTGTTAACAGAGTAGCAGGGATGTCTTTGGTCGCTGCATTGTCAGGGAAGGATCAATCCTAGAGTTGCCTGGTGTGTGTTTTTGTGTTTGCTTAAATGTAAGCCCGAACGCTGTAACTTCTTTCTCTGCCTCCATCTGGTTGACTTACCAAATAAATGTACTTGTAAAAAACTAGAGCCCACCTTCAGACTCCCGTTACTTTCCTCTCCCGCTCCTCATGTCCTCCAAAAAAAGTGAAAAGGAAGAAAACTGCTTTAAAAAGATAGTCTACCGTGTTTATATTTGCTTTTCCTTTTGAAAACATTACTTTGCGTTATACATATTTTTGAACACAGGAAAGAGAATAAGGAATTAGGTGTCGTTTGGTTTTCTTAGTTGTAGGGAACAATGTCTGGTGATTGAGGTGTTCAACATAATGTTTCTCTTGTGTTTAAAATATAACTTCCTCACGGATTAGATTAAAAACTGAGTTCTTATCATTTTTTACACAAAATACAAAGGAAAAAAATCCCTTAGGTTTCTATAATATGATGTAGTCAGATATTTTATTTTCATATGGTATTTTTGAAGCCAAAAAAATGCAGCACTTGGTGTTTTATATTTATTCCCTTTTATTTATTTAAAAATCTTAGATTTAAAACTTTTGTACACTCATTAAAGATTGGTAAGTATTACATGTGATTGACTTATGTTGGAAAAATAAACAGAACTGTTAAGTTACTTCAAGAAACTGTTCTTTCCGAAGAAATTATTGATATAATTTAAAATGGAAGAAGTTAAATGCCTGCTTATTTAATCTCTTTTTGGAAACAGTTGTACAGAATATAATTTGTATTTTTTAAGTAAATGATTTAAATTAAATTTCTTCCTAAGGTAAATATGAGCAGACACTTGCCTTTTGTATGAGTTCTGATAGACAGCATCTGAAATTGTCATTCGTACCCAAAATTTCCTGATTCTGTTGAGGAGATGGCTATGTGGTATAGTAACTGCACATTGGTGGTGAGTCATTTCATTATTACTACATTAAGCCTGAAGCTAAAGAACAAGTTGATTACAGGAGTCTATCTACTAGCTCATTATCTTACCTGCTTTTAAGTGTTTCTAGGGGCAACCTGTTGAGCCTTTAGGAAATATTTTTATTAACTAACAAAGAAAACCTAAGGACATTTGTGAAGAATAATACATAATCCCAAAGAAGTTTTTCCTTACTGTGCTCTGAATTTTTAAGTTTGCTATTACCCACACTTTAATAGTTTTTATATAAACCAAATTTTTTGTTGGTTGACATTTTATCTGGTCAAAAGTGTAAAAAAGAAAATAAAAAGAAGATAACAGGTATTTTATAACCCATTAGACTAGATTCACTTCTAACATATAGAAATATCACTTATGTATAATAAATCTTTTGCAGGCCCTGGTAATTAGTACAAAAATACAGTTCCAGTTGTTTTAAACAGATCGTTTAATGCTGATTACATCATTTATTGAGTGTTTTCTACTGGGTATTCATTGTGTTAGATGTTTTTATAGTACATTGCCTTGTTAAATACACACAACAACTCATGGATTAAATATTATTAGCCTCCCTTTACATGTGAAGAATCACTCAGAGAAAGTCATATAGCTAGTATTAGTGGTAGAATTTCAGCCTAAGTTCATCTAACTCTGTTCTCTCCACTATACTACACAGCCTCCCTATATACAAATAAATTTTACTATTCTCATTTTTACAGGTAGTAGAAACCAAGATTTAGAGATGTTCAATAATTTGCTCAAAGATCTGTGGCTAAAGGACAGAGGAGGGAGTATCAGCTAGGATTTTAGCCTAGTTGAGGTAATTTAGTAAAACCTATAGCCTTCCTTTTATGGCAGGTACTTTGATTAATTCAGACCCAACTTATAGTAGCTAAGATGTTTTGCTTAGACCTTACAGAAAATTTAAAGCCTAGTAAAATTATTTGAATGCTAAGTTGCCTCAGACTGTTTTTTCATAATATGTAGAATGTACATAGGAGAGCTGTTGTCCTTCGAGAGTTTACATCCTAGGAAATAGCACATATTACCCATATTGTTTATAATTAGTCATGATTAGAATTTATCAGGAACATTTTCTTGAGGTTTTCTGTCCTGTTTATTTAAAAACTCAGATCTTTAGGAAAAGGGAAATACTTGTTTAGAAATGGGTGACTTGATTCAGAGGACAAGGAAAATCTTAGAAGAAATCACAGAAGACTCCTTGAAGCAGAAAGGATATAACTTGAATGTGGGTAGGCAAAAACAAGAATGAAAACCATTCCTTCCAGGCAGTGGTGGACAGCATGTAAAAAGTTTTAGAGTATAGGGAACATTAGTCAATTTTGCCAGTCCATCATCCATTCTCCTGTTGTCTGATAATAATACCCCAATTTTCCTAGGGAACCACCATCTAAGTTACATAAATCCCTCCCTGACACAAGGTATGCACATGACTCAGGCCTAGCTAATGACCAATCAGTATAGTCCATTGCTCTGGGCCATAGTGATTGTTCAAAGATGAGTGCATTTTCCAGTCAGCACATGAGTATTAACTCTGAATTTTTTGTTGAACTATTGAGAAGGAGGCATGCTTTGAGCCCTTGGGTTGCTGAGAAAATAGAATGTGAGGCTGGAGCTTACCAATAAATGAAAAGCAGAGCTAAAAGGTGGGAAGAGTGAGACCAAGTTCTAGTGACAGTGTTTGAACCTTTGGATCCATAGTCATGCCTAAAGTTAGTGCTATCTCTGGACTTTCAAATTATGTGAGCTAATAAATTCCCTTTTCTGCTTAAGTTGAGTAGAACCTTTTAGAAAAAGGTTCTCACTCTAATGCCCAGGTTGGAGTGCAGTGGCCAGATCATAGCTTACTGTAACCCTGAATTCCTGGGCTCAGGCAATCCTCCTGCTTCAACCTCCCCAGCTAATTGTGTGTGTGTGTGTGTACGTGTGTGTGTGTGTACACAATGGGATCTCACTGTATTGCCCAGACTCGTCTTCAACTTCTGGCCTCAAGTGATCCTCCTGCCTTGGCCTCCCAGGGTGCTGGGATTATAGGAGTGAGCCACTGTGCCCAGCTGAGTAGAATTTTTTGATATAAACTAAAGGTCCTGACTAGCACAGTGAGACTGCTCTTGATAATGTGGTGAAACCAATTTTGTCAGAATAAATGATTGGAATAGAGAATATGAGAGCTGCCTTTCACATATAAGGAAGCTAGATTGCTGATAGGTTTAGAAACAGGTTCAGCATTCATTCAATAGACACTTATTGACTAAGGGACTTTGGCAGTTGTAGGTATGCAAAGAAGACCAAGACATTTCCTACCCTCAAAGAACTCAAGCCAGGCTGGGCACAGTGGCTCACACCTGTAATCCTAGCATTTGGAGGGCTAAGGTGGGAGGATTACTTGAGGCCAGGAGTTCAAGACCAGCCTAGGCAACATAGCAAGACCCCATCTCTACAAAAAATAAAAAAATTAGCCAGATGTGGTGGTGTACACCATAGTCTCAGCTACTCAGGAGGCTGAGGCAGGAGGATCACGTGAGCTCAGAAGTTCAAGGTTGCAGTGAGCTATGATGATGCCATTGTACTCTAGCATGGGCAACAGTGTAAGGTCTTGCCTCAAAAAACAAAACAAAACAAAAAAACTCAAGGGATCTAGTGGGGAGATAGATAAGTGTAAAGATTATTTAAATTGTGTAATAGCAAAACTTTTATGTTATAGGCATTATGCAGGTGATGTAGGGGAAGTAAAAATGAAAAATGAGGCTTCATAGTATTTCAAAATCTAGGATGGGCACAGTGTCTCACCCCTATTATTCCAGTACTTTGGGAGGCTGAGGTGGGAGGATCGCTTGAAGCCAGGAGTGAGAAACCAGCTTGCGTAACATAGTGAGACCCTCGTCTCTCTAAAAAATTTTTTTTTAAATCTGGTAATCTGGTTGGGTGGCTACAGTAATAATTAAAACCTATGAGGAAATGAAAACCTGGAAAACTGAGATCATACTGGAAAATGAAAATGTACAGTTGCTGATTGACTATTAAAAAAAAGGACCGGAGTCAAGGATAATTGTTAAACTTGGAGGACTAGAAAGATGATAATGCTATTGTTTATAATAGTAGCTAACATTTATTGAGCTCTTAACATATTCTAGGTATTGTGCTATCTATATATATAAAACATGAACATACAAAACTGTAGTGAGTTGTAAGTACTGTTTTTGACCCCATTTTGCACATGAGAAAATTGAGACTTGGGAGATTAATTTGATCAAGGTCTCACAGCAAGAACTGGGATTCAAATTCAGATATATCTGATTCTAAAAGTTGTGTTTTTGATCACTAAGTGATACTGAGAAAGAAGTTTAGTTCATACAATTTCTTTGGTTTGCCTAATAGCTTTAAAGCGTTGGTAGTACATGTAGTTAATCATGTGTGGCACATAGAAACGTGAGTCTAGAGCTTTACAGTGTAGAGTGAAGTTAGGGTAGAGCATGAATTCAAGAGTCATAGTGAGAGTTTATAAGATTCTTAGAGAAGGAGTGTAGAGAGTGGAAAAACTGGTCACTGACAACTGTGGGGTACGCAGACATTTTAAAAGGTGAG